GTTGCAGCCGTCATTGTTGTTTGGCGGGCCCGGGCTGGATTCGAACCCGCCACCTTGGGTGTACGTGGCTGGCGCCTTAGCCACTTGAACCACAGGTGCTGAGCCAACTTTCCCTTTTCTTGAACTGATCTGTGTGCTTGACTCTATAGTTATGACAAGTCTAGAAATTCAGTGGTATAAAGCATTAATAGGTGAGAGCATAAAATCTAATTTTTGATTTCATTAGTACAGGACAGGAGAGTTAATAACCCCACACATTTAAAATATTTCCTAAATATTCTAATGGTTCTGTCAGGAAACAGTATTTTGAGTTTAATTTTTTACAATTTCCTGTCATGTTCTCTCTGCTCTCTGAGCACAGTACTACATTGGTACTTGGAAAAATTCTACCAAGAATCTTAACTTTTTCTAATAAAATAGGTCTTGCTGCCTCTAAGCCGGACCTGATCACCTTTCTGGAGCAAAGGAAAGAGCCCTGGAACGTGAAGAGACATGAGATAGTAGCTAAACACTCAGGTAAGTGAGAGTAAATTGAGCAGATGACACAGATGAGAGGGCCAAGGGCCTAGTCTCGGACCTTAAAATGTGGTTTGTGCTCCAGTGGAAATGCTTTTGGAGAAGCCTGGATGTCTTTCTCTTGCTTTCACATAGGGACATCTTCTGTCTCATTCTCACTTTCTCTGAGGACTCTAATTCCCCCTTGAGAGATCTTCCTTCAGGGTTACAGTGGGAGCCAAAATCCTCTTGTTGGCATATAGGTATTACATGAGCTGAATACTCTTCCATTGGTTTTGGGGACACAGGAATGTCTGGGTATTTTTGAGGAAGTCTATGTTAAACTATTTTTTTAGTTTCCTTTTTACATTGTGTCAGAGATGTGTGAGAGTAGTTGTGACATTGGAATTGTTTCAGAAATCCCAGAAACATCAGTGACAGATGTACTTTTCTGCTTTTATTATTTTCTGTCATATGGAGGTTCCTGTTGTTATTTTGCAGAAATTTTTACTCAGTAATTTTATCAGAACACTAATACTGGCTCGGCGCCTGTGGCTCAGGTGGCTAGGGCGCCAGCCACATACACTTGAGGTGGCAGGTTCGAATCCAGCCCGGGCCTGCCAAAACAACAACGATGGCTGCAACCAAAAAATGGCCGGGCGTTGTGGCGGGTGCCTGTGGTCCCAGCTACTTGGGAGGCTGAGGCAGGAGACTCGCTTGAGCCCAGGAGTTGGAGGTTGCTTCTGAGCTGTGATGCCACAGCACTCTACCCAGGGGGACAGCTTGAGGCTCTGTCTCAAAAAAAACACTAATACTCTCAAAATGTAAAAAAAAGTCTAATGCTATTTTACTATAAAATTGTAGTTTTTAGTATGAACTGAGATGAGTAATTTAAATTCTGTTTATTCATATTCCTCAATATAGTTTAGTGTACTTAGTCACATCCTATATTACTTAAATATGCTATGTCATTAGGGATCAAAGAACATTGCTGAGCATATATTAAACTCATTTGTGACTTAATTTTATTTATTTATTTATTTATTTAATTTATTTATTTATTTATTTATTTATTTCACTTTGTCACGCTCAATAGAGCTCTGTGGTCTCACAGCTCCCAGCAACCTCCAGCTTTTGGGTTTAGGCAATTCTCTTGCCTCAGCCTCCTGAGTAGCTGGGACCACAGGCGCCCACCACAATGCCTGGCTATTTTTTATTGCAGTTTGGCCGGGGCTGGGTTTGAGCCTGCCACCCTCAGTGTATGGGGCCGGTGCCCTACTCACAGAGCCACAGGTGCTGCCCTGTATGAATATATAATTTATACAATGTAGTGATTTTTTAATAAATTATAAAATAAATAATATAATCAAGTTAATTAACATGTCATCGCACATGGTTACTTTTTTTATACTGAGAACACTTACGGTCTACTATCATCAAATTTGGGGGAACTAAATATTATTTATAGTCATGATGTTAATGCATTAAATCCTTGAAAACTTATTCATCCTATAACGAAAAGTTTGTATCCTTTGGAAAGCATTTTTCTATTTTCTGTACCTCCAGGCTCTGGCAGCTACGTTTTTACTCTCTGATTCTGAGTTTAACCGTTCTAGAATCCCCATATAGGTGTGAACATGAAGTAATTGGCCTGTTTCTGATATTTCAGTTTCTGGCATAATGTCCTATAGGTCTATCATGTTATGTAAATAGCAGGATTTTATGATTTTTTTTTTTTTTTTTGAGACAGAGCCTCAAGCTGTCCCCCTGGGTAGAGTGCCGTGGCATTACAGCTCACAGCAACCTCCAACTCCTGGGCTCAAGCGAGTCTCCTGCCTCCGCCTCCCAAGTAGCTGGGACCACAGGCACCCGCCACAATGCCCGGCTATTTTTTGGTTGCAGCCGTCATTGTTGTTTGGCGGGTCCGGGCTGGGGATTCGAACCTGCCACCTTAGGTGTACATGGCTGGCGCCTTAGCCAGTTGAGCTATAGGAGCCGAGCCTATGATTTTTTTTTTTATGGCTGAATAATATTGTATGTAGAGAGCCATGGTGTCATAGCTCATAGCAACTCAAACTCCTGGACTCAGAAGATCTTCTTGCTTCAGCCTCCCAAATAGCTGGAACTGTAGGCCCCTGCCAAAATGCCTGGCTAGTTTTTCTGTTTTTAGTAGAGACGGGTTCTCACTGTTGCTCAGGCTGGTCTTGAACACTAACATCTGAGCAATCCATCTGCCTCAGCCTCCCAGAGTGCTAGGATTACAGGCATCAGCCACTGCACCTGGCTTACATTTGCTCTGTGGCTGTACTTTTTGTGTCACATCTAAAAAATTATTACCAAGACCAATATCAGAGGATAAGATACCCCATATGTTTCTTTTATGATTTTTAAGGATTCATATATTCTATTTGTTTTTATTTTGAGTTAATTTCTAAGTATGATGTAAGAAAAATGGTATAATTTCATTCTTTTGCTGGTGAGTATCAAGTTTTCCTAGCCTCCAGTATTGAACAAACTCTTCTCTCTGTATTTTGTATTCTTGGTGCCGCTCTCAAAGATTAGTTGATCTTTTTTTCTGAGACAGAGTCTCAGTATGTTAAGTTCAGTAGAGTGCTGTGTCAGCATAGCTCACAGCAACCTCAAACTCTTGGGCTTAAGCGATTCTCTTGCCTCAGCCTCCCGAGTAGCTGGGATTATAGGCGCCCATCACAACGCCTGGCTATTTTTTGGTTGTAGTTGTCATTGTTGTTTGGCAGGCCCTGGGCCGGGTTCAAACCTGCCAGCTGCAATGTATGTGGCCGGCACCCTAGCCACTGAGCTACAGGCACTGAGCCTCCAGGTTTGTTTTTCTTTCTCAACTTTGCTCTATTCAAAGACTCCTGTAAATTTATATACAGAGTCTTAAACTGTTGCCCTAGGTAGAGTGCTGTAACATGATAACTCACAGCAACCTTAAACTCTTGGCTCAAGCCATCCTCTTGCCTCAGTTTTTCTATTTTTAGTAGAGAGGAGCTCTCCCTTTTGCTCAGCTGGTCTCGAACTCATAAGCTCAGGCAGTCCACCTGCCTTGTCCTCCCAGAGTGTTAGGATTACAGGCGTGAGCCACTGCATCCAGCTCTATTGGAATATATATATATATATATATATTTTTTGAGACAGAGCCCCAAGCTGTCACCCTGGGTAGAATACCGTGGCATCACAGCTCACAGCAACCTCCAACTCCTGGGCGCTCAAGTGATTCTCCTGCCTCCGCCTCCCAAGTAGCTGGGATTATAGGCACCCGCCACAATGCCCGGCTATTTTTTGTTGCAGCCATCATTGTTGATTGGTGGGCCCAGGCTGGATTTGAACCCACCAGATCAGGTATATGTGGCTTGCACCTTAGCCACTTGAGCCACAGGCTCCGAGCCAGAATATTTTTTTTGAGACAAAGTCTCTCACTCTGTCACCCTGGGTAGAGTGCTGTGGCATCATCATAGCTCACAGCAACCTCAAACTCTTGGTCTCAAGTGATCCTCTTGCCTAAGCCTCTCAAGTACCTGGGACTACCTGTCACAAGACTTGGCTAGTTTTTCTATTTTTAGTTAGAGACAGGGTCTTGCTCTTGCTCAGTCTCATCTCAACCTCTGGAGCTCAAGCAATCCACCCACCTTAGCCTCCCAGAGTGCTAGGATTATAGGTGTGAGGCAACATGCCGAGGTGCCATTGGAATTTTTATAGAAATCACATTAAATATATAGATTAGTTTAGATAATGTGATATTTTAACAATGTTAATTCTTCCAATACACAAACATGGAATATTTTTACATTTATTTGTTTCTTTTAGATCAGTATCATTCAGTGTAAATACTTTTTACCTTTTTGGGTTTAATATATGCTTAAGAACATATTATTTTACTGATATTGTAGGTGAGATTGTTTTCTTTTTCTTTTTTTTTTTGAGACAGAGTCTCACTATGTGGTTGTAGAGTGCTGTAGTGTCACTGCTCACAGTAACCTCAAACTCTTGGGCTTAAGCGATTCTCTTGTCTCAGCCTCCCTGAGCTGAGACTACAGGGCCCCACCACAATGCCCGACTGTTTTTTGTTTTTTGATTGTAGTTATCCTTGTTATTTGGTGGGCCAGGGCTAGATTCGAACCTGCCAGCTCCAGTGTATGTGGCTGGCACCCTAGCTGCTTGAGCTACAGGCGCCAAGCCAATCATATCCTTTTAGAATAAAAAATAAATGTAAGACTTACTGGCTTCTAAAGGCTGGAACATTACAGCCTTTTTATTTTGTGTAGGAATAGCGTCATATACTAATAACGTAAAACATTATATTTAGTGTCTTTTAAATGCTTACTCATTAAAATTTCTTTAGAACCTCTTACCAATGATCATAATGCATTTTCTTTTCTTTTCTTTTCTTTTTTTGAGACAGCTTCATTTTGTTACCCTTGGTAGAGTGCTGTGGCTTCATAGCTCACAGAAACCTCAAACTCTTGGGCTCAAGCAATTCTCTTGCCTCTGCCAGGCAATCCATCTGCCTTGACCTGCCAAGTGCTAGGATTACAGGCGTAAGCCACCATGCCCAGCCTAGATAAATGTTTCTTTCATTTTTGTTTTGCAATACTGTATTCCTGTGTTTGTTTTGGGGGATAAGATCCTTGAAATCAGATTGTTTTTCATTTTACCTATTATTATAATCTCCAAAAAATTTTTGCAACTTTACTTTGTGTATACATTTTAAGTTAATGCAATATTTAATTTAAATATAAATGGGGAAGGGGAGAAGATGGGAGGGGGTGGATGGGTAGAGGGAGGGTGACTGAAGGGATCACCTCTGTGGATTATCTTTCAAGGGTACAAGTGAATCTTTCTTTTTTTTTTTTTTTTTTTTTTTTGAGACAGTGTCTCAAGCTGTCCCCCTGGGTAGATTGCTGTGGTATCACTGCTCATGGCGACGTCAAACTCTTGGGCTTAAGTTATCCTCTTGCCTCAGCCTCCCAAATAGCTGGGACTACAGGCTCCCACCACAATGCCCAGCTTATTTTTTGTTATAGTTGTCATTGTTGTTTGGCAGGCCCAGGCTGGATTTGAACCTGCCAGCTCCAGTGTATGTGGCTGGCGCCTTAGCCACTCGAACTACGGGTGCCAAGTCAGGTTTTTTGTTTTTTTGTTCTGATTGTTCTCTGCTATGGTACATAAATGTAATGAACTTCTTCTTACTTAATTTTTCTCTTCTTGGGTTTGTACTCACTGTGTGGGTACTGGAGACTCAAAATTGGTATTAAGTTTATACATCACTGGAGAATTGACAGCCTCAGATTTTTTATTCAACTATCATGATGATGTCAGCTGAGTAGTATTATTTTTTTGGGGGGGAGGGACAGAGTCTCGCTATGTCACCTTTGGTAGAGTGCTGTGGCGTTCACAGCTCATAGCAACTTCAAACTCTTGGGCTTAAGCTATTCTTTTGCCTCAGCCTCCCAAGTAGCTGGGAATACAAACACCCACCACAACATGTGGCTATATTTTGTTACAGTTGTCATTGTTGTTTTAGCTGGTCCAGGTCTGGTTCAAACCTGCCAGCCTCGGTGTATGTGGCTGGTGC